GGAAGGAAGGAAGGAAGGAAGGAAGGAAGGAAGGAAGGAAGGAAGGAAGGAAAGAAGAAAGAAAGATGGAGGGAAGGAAGGAAGAAAAGAGAGAGAGAAAGAAAGAGAAAGAAAAGAAGGAAAGGAAAGAAGGAAGGAAGAGGGAGGGAGGGAAGAAAGGAAAGAAAGAGAGAGAAAGAAGGAAGGAAGGGGGAGAGGGAGGGAAGGAAAGAAAGAGAGAGAGAGAAAGAAGGAAGAGGGAGGGAACGAAAGAAAGAGAGACAGAAAGAAAGAAGGTAAGAAAGAAAGAAAAAGAAAGTAAGAAAGAAAGAGAGGGAGGGAAGGAAGGAAGGAAAACAAGCAAGCAACCTTCCTTCTGTTTCATAGCCAGAGGAGCAGGAAAGGTGATGGTTTGGAGTGACATTATTACGACTCCCAAGTACAACATGTAAAGCCAAAACCACAGATACGATACAGTGAAATCCACTCGAGTCCAGATCTCTTATTTTTATTTATCTGTGTGTACCTGATAAGACTGAATCTCGCCAGATTAAAGCTATAACTTTCTAAGCATGTAGATAGACCCTGTGTAGGAAGAAGTGTGCCAGAACCCGGGGGGGGGGGGGAGTTAAAAGAGGGATCAGCCTAGAATCCCTACATAGCCATAAACAAAAAAAGTCCATTCTGCCTCTAATTCCCTGGACCCTTATCTAACTTCCAGCAGATGCTAACCATTAGTTGAGAAGATTCCTGTGCATAGGCATGGATAGTAACAAATCAATTGAATTGGACCTTTGTTTGTGAACCTGGATCTTTCATCCCTGATCCTTTGGGAGTTTCTACAGTGTGGCTACCCTTAACACATCTGAAGAAATCAATGAAGGGAACATCACACCAATTTACAGTTCAGACTCAGTGTTACAACTGCATGTACTGTTGTGGTCCGCCGGTGGCCTGTGGAGCTGGCAGAGTCGGACAGCGAGGAGGTTGGGGAGGAACATGGCCCAGTCCAGGAGACTGGGGAAGACTTGGACGAGGGATCTGCGTTGGAGACAGAGAGGGGGCCAGGGCCATCTGGAAGTTATGTGCTGCCTCCGGAGCCTCCAGAGTTGGACAGCAGCGAGGCAGAGGAACAAATTCCCCCGCTTCCCAGTGTGCACGTGCAGAGCTGAACAGTTAAGACATGAACAGTTAAGATAGAAGGGACGACTCGGGAGTAAGGCTTGGAGGTGATTGGCCCCTCCCATAAGACATAAAGGAGCAGCAAAGGCATGTGAGCTTTTGCAGGAAGCAACTTGGTTCATGCTGGTCAGTTTACCTTCTGAAGCTCTGTTTTGACTCTTTGTTCCATGTGGCCAAGGTAATTACCAATTAAGTCTTTGGCAGTGTTTCAAGGGTGACAAAGATGGGTGCTTATCAGCCTTATCCCGAAAGACTTTGACAGCTTACTGTAGGACTCTTTCCAACTATTTGGGACTCATTACGGGCTGTGAATGAACATAATTTACAGCCTTCAAAATAAAAAGAGTGTTTTTGGGACTAAGCGTTTGCTTTTTACCGTATCAGGAAGCCTAGGTCAGAACACGGACCAGCACTTTATTTTTGATCTTCCAGAGATGGCTCGGAGGAATGAATCATCCCAAACAGAGAAGCCTTCTGACAGGAGGAGAAGACACTTCTCTTGGAAGTAGAAACAGTGTTGGCAAGCAGCGCCCGAGTCCCCCATCATTCATTGCCCTGCTATTAAATTATTTCCAAAGCTTCTTTGTTCGAGCTTTGCTCCTCTCCACTAAAGTCTCTGTCACCGAGTCCATCATGGCAAAACAAACAGGATTACAGACCCTGCTGCTTTCCATTAGCTCTTACAGCCCCTGACCTTCAAACAAGATTGACCCTGGGAAAGGCTGTTCCCGGGGAAAAAAACACGAT